TTTAAAATAGGCCATGACAATGTTATCCAAATCTCTCTCGTTCCATTATTCTTGATCACCATCCCACCTGACATTATGCAACCTACACAGAAAATAACTGTAATTAAATATTAAAATGTATTTTTCAGTGTCTCTAGCTAATGCCCTTTCGCTTTTCACTTGTGCTTGCTTGGCAAGAAGAGTAAAATTTAGCTGCATTAGGAACTAATTGTGTAGGATTCTGCAAAGAAAAGTATAGGTAAAGGTAATGACAGTACGGTGTGAAAGAAAAATAAAAAGTTTTATTTAAAATCTGTTAGATGATTAGGTCCTGACAGGAGAAAATCCCTTCAAGTGTACCAACATTACAAATAGCATACTACTGTATTTTTGGTATGCCTAGTTAAATAAGATGGGAACAGGATATGATACTAAACTATGACTATTTGAGGGGATATGTTCCATTAACATGAAGTTATTTCTGCCTTGAAGTCAAAATATGAGATATCTTTCAGGTGCATAATATTTTGATTCCATACATTGATTTTCAAGAGTTGTTTTGAATTCAAGTCTATATTTGTGTCATAACCAAAACTGAAATTTAACTTACTGAATTACCAGGTAAGTGCCAGGTCTGAGATGAAGCCCCAGACTTAAAGACTGAGGACATGATAATTCATAATGTACTGCTGGTCAGGGCCATTATTCCATAGCTTAGGGGGGGGGGGAGTCATAGATGAGTATGGAGCGATGGTAAAATGATTATAAGAAGAAAACTGAAGGAACTTAGAGTAAAATGTGCTTCAAAGTCACTTCATCCACCATAAATCTCACATTTGGGCTATGGCATGGTCTACTCAGAAACACAGAATTTGTCTTCTTGCTGGTTAAAGTAAAAGAATAAGAAATATTTTGCTTCCAGTAATATTCACATGTAACCTAGAAAAATGAAATCTACTGCCTAACTTATCTTGAAATATCTTAGCACTAGCCATGGGAAAAAGGTATCAGTTCCACCACTGAAATTTGGAGGTTATCTTATTATTACACCATAGCTTAAACCATGGCTTTGAAGAGAAGTTATATACATACCAAAACAAGTGAAACGTATATGAGCTAATCCCATGTACACAGCTATCTGAAAATGACATGATTCAAAAGTCCTTAACTACAAGAAAACAATGAGATCAAATTGTAACAAGGATAAAAGTATGTCTATGCATATTTGTGAGTTCACTGCACAGCCTCAATCAAAACTGTGTTTGTATTATTAAAGCTACAGGCATTTATTAACAATACAACCAATAATAAAATATAACAGATCATATATTTAGATACTTTCAATTAAATATTTTTTTCAAAAGACATATGTTTATCAGGCTTCAAATGTGTATGTAAAGTTTTTAAGAACTTTTTATATAAGACATGGCTTTCAACCTAAAGACATTTTCAGTTCACATCATCTGAATTTAAGCTTTTCCTTAATTTAACATTCAATTTTGGTGATCCCAAGACAAAAATTGAGTAAAAATTTATTTCATTTTCCTAAGTTTAGATTTTAAATCTTCTGCTTACCAAAGAACAGTTTAAGAATCTCTGAGTTGGGGCAATTGGTAAAGCTCACCACTTGTTCTCAGGAGGAGTGCAGGACACCAGTCATCCTAACTGAGGTATTTTGTGAATTTCCTGTCCCCCCACGTGAATGCCAGGATAATACCTCGAAACAGGCTATGATGACTTCCTTCAGCATCATTTCTAATTCACCATTCATTCGTCAGCAATTACAGTATTGTATTTACAATGTGTGAGAAAAAGAAAATTAACATTAGGCCATATTAATGGTCTGGTTTGAATTTTGTCCATTCTACATTTTAAAAAAGAAATATCTTATGTTCATATATTTATAAATTCTCGTGCAGTGTATCTGCTGTACAGTACCATAAGAGTAACAGAGGAACACCAATATGGCCAACAGGAAGGATAATAAAGTGAGCATCTCTTCACAAAATTCCAGCATTCTTATAAATTGACAGATTGGTATTACTTTTGATATGGTTAAGCCAGTATAGTGATTTGATTGTGGGCTAGATGACTGTAGAACAGAGGTTCAATTCATAATGGGGACAAACATTTCTCTCCTTCCCACATCAGGACAGAGTGGCCTACCAGCCAAGGCATGAAGTTAACCATTCACCTTTTTTTTTTATTGCTAGTGGAGTGGGACTAAGTCCCTTGTACTGTGGCCAATTCTGGCCTATTGTACCAGCCCCAGATGATAGGTGAGGGTGATTGTGGAGCAATTGGTGGAATGAAGATTGGCAGGGGAAACCGAAGTACTCGGAGAAAACTTGCCCCAGCGCCACTTTGTCCACCACAAATCCCACTTGACCACACCCCAGGATAGAACCCAGGCCGCCAAGGTGGGAAGCCAGTGACTAATCGCTTGAGCTATGGCGCATCCCAACCGTTCACCTTCCTCTAATGCCAAGGTTAAAAATGTATGGAGCTATACTTCCATTGTTCAATATATCTTCATGGCGAGGTGCTTAATTAAACGTAGGGACAATCTTACATTTACATGTACTTACTGTATAACTTAAGACACTAATTCTCGCAATAAATTTAACCATCCACTGGACAGTTCTCATGATCAGTTACACGTCATTAATGACATAAGACCTACAAGTTCATATGTAGAACTATAATGTCATGGGTTGAAAACCAGAAATATGTCAGGGCTTTGCAGTGTCTCACTGTCACTATAAAATAGCTTCTAGATATAAAAGAAACACTCTTACGGCAGAGAGCAGTCAACACCAACACTGAAGAAAGAACAAGAATAAAACTGCAAATAAAACAAATGTTAAACTATATGTCTCAGTATCACAAACTATGATGATAAATCTTCTTAAATCTCACTCTGAATATCTGCTTTTGTTTACAGTTCCTGTCATAACATATCAATCATCATTTATCTCAAAAACAGACTTGCATTTAAAGGGACTAACGAGCTTAACTCAATTTGATTTTGAACAACCATGTGATTATTGATGACAGGTTTTCCTCATTAGTTGCCTGTCATCTCTATAAGCACTGTCACTCACCATTCACTTGATCCACTTAGCGTTAAGTCTGCTTATTCCATTAAGACCAAAGAGTCAACAATCTTAACTGTAATGATCAGTACAGGTGTATATGCATATTTCATTTCAAAGTTCTTCAAAGAGCTCCATTCAAATGTCAACCAATTTTCTTCATTCCAAGTGATAAAATATGGCCAAATAATCCTACAATTGCCAAGTATCTGAAATTCTTACCTTTACAAAAATTGCCATATCTTACTACATGTGACATCTGTTGGCATTCTAGGGAAGCTACAAGGTGAAGTAACATTTGCAGGAAATTTTTATCCCAACATGTTTTTAAATATTATTTACCAGTGAAATATGAAATGATCAATGAAAAAGGAGCAGATCTCCAATCTTCATTCCAACAACTATTCCATTGTATCATCAACACTACATATTATTGACATTGACAATGTCATTATATAACCAGCTTAGGAACAATGATCAGCTCTGACGGTATCAGTTGCATACTGCAGAAATTACAGTTAAAAAATTCTAACATAATATGTGCCAACAATTTTCTAAAGGTTCTGGACAGTAATTGATTCATTATGCTAATTACATTTGTCATTATCTACTGCCTGAGGTATACACCCAATGTTTCTGAAAGTGGACCAACCTCTGCAATTGGGTGCATGAGAAAAAATGTCGCTAGTCAGAAGGGCTAGGTGCAGTAATCAAGTCTAGCTCTTTCCCCCTTAGTCCTGAGAATGGAAAAATATCAAAACTCTGAAATGTTACACATTTCAAGTGTACCTCAGACAATGAACAAAGCCCAGTATAATATTCATGCAATAATATTTCCTACAGGAAGTTCAGAAGTTGCGAAGTGTATCTGCAGTTATATGAGTTTACAATGATGCCAAGTTCTGTCTGTTCATACAGATTGACTGAAAAAAAAAACTGTTACCACTTTCAAAGATATTTTATTGTCTACATTTTCTTCTTTTCAGTCACCACAATAAATGTTAAATTTTTTCATCAGTTCCGATGGAAGACGTCTCATTTCACCAAAATACTTCCTTCAGTACATCACATCATTAATTGTATCTTACTAAGAAAGCCTGACTTAATATGAATCCTTATGAGTGGTAACACAGTTCTCAACCTTCCTGTTTATCATACTGCGAACACTTCTGTTAATTCTAACTCATTCAGTGATGAGACAAATTTCTGAAATGGGATACGTGGACATGTCATCTGTTAATCTGTTATTAGTATCTCTGGAGGATCTGCCGCCTTCACTTTCAGGTATGGAACTCTTCTACTCTGAAGATGGAAGCAGGAAATTCTTCCAACATGTTGGTAACGCTCTACCAGGCTAAATAGCATCACATCTCAGAAGACAGTGAACTTCACATCATTGAAAGAATTAAGATGAAACGATGTGCAGCAGAGAGTATCAGTGATTTAACCCATGCTTGAACGTTGGGGTCAGGCCAGATTCTGCCAGATCTCTCACTATCAGATACAGCTGACACTTAGAGGCTGCTTTCTACTGCATGTAATTTGTATCTACATAAAGAGATGGCAATATTTGATTTTCAACATTATCTGCCTAGAAGAGTTCTGTTATCTGGGATAAAAGGCTGCACAGTCAGTTAAAATTCAACTGACGTTTTGGAGAAACATGTCACTTCCATCTTCTGGGTCGAAGACTAATCCAAGCAAGAAACCAGAGTGAAGCAGTTTCAGACGTCAGTTTTTTACTTTCAACGCACTACATGACGTTATATTCCAGATGAAAGCTATTGAAAGAACCTTTCCAAATTCCAAAAGAACTAAACAGCTCTTTGTAAGATTTGAGGTTTTCACGGCGGTGACTATGACGAAAGCAGTCTTCTGGGATGTGGCACCGTGTAGATGTGGTGTTGACCGACGTTCCTCCGAAACATCAGTTAACACCACACCTACACGGTGCCACATTCCAGAAGACTGCTGTCTTCTTAAACATCTCTTGTTTTCTAAAATATGTAATGTTGAAATAATAAGAAATGTTTACATAACCTTCATATAAATTTCCATTTGCAATGTTGGTACACTAAGAAATTTGAATGGAACTCTTCAGTGACAGTGAATTCTAATTTTCTGGTGATGTATGACCAGTAAGTGATGTGATACGAGTGCAATATGGAAAATAATCTCCAGTGGTACCCAGAGTGTTGCGTTTATGAATGCACTTATTATGAGGTTACAGTGATTTGCAGGACTGTTATGTCCCTAACAATATGAGTTCTATTTATAATAAATTATTTATGAATAATTTTCATATTTTAGTTTTTGCAATTCATTGCCTTAGTTCTACTCCCATATTTTGTGGAACAGTGAAAATAAGGGTAAAATGTTTGAAACATGAATAGTTGAACATGGGAGACAGAAAAAAAAATTGCCTTTTATAATTTATGTTCTGATTTTGCTCAGTTCAATCATGGATATATAGCCCTTATGCTTGAAGGAACTCAGTGCAATTATATCCTGAAAAATAATGATAATTAACTAATGTGGCAAGTTCTTAAAGAATATTCATCTTTACATCTACTATGCATGTGTTCAAATTTAAATGATGACACTCAGTGAAAAGTAACATGTAGAAAATATTTGTTATCTTTCAGTTAAAACTGTTATTGAATTACAATTTGCAATAATACAAAGCAACTAGCACAATTAAAAGAAAATAGACAACCACAAAGTGTAAGGGATGAGGGTGTTTTAGATATCTGTGAAATAAAGGAACCATCCCTGTACTATGGAAAGCATTCGGTTAGATATTAATCACTTCAGTGTTTTCTGTCAACAGATGGCACAAAGTGTGATACATGATTTGAGGAAGGAACAGGCTTTCACTCTATCTATTCCTGTGGCCATTTGAAGGTAAACTGTGAAAAATATTGGGGATTTTTCTGTGCAACTGTATTGACCTCTCATCAGCTTTGAAATTTCTAGAAGATAGTTGTATCACAGGGCTCGGAAATCTAAGGGCTAAGAACAGTCATTAAAGGAACATAATTCTTGCTAACAATATTTCTGAATTTATTAAAATGAGTGCGCCATGAACTGCAACATCCTGCATACCACTGAAATGTGCATGGGATAATGTTTGTGCCAGCAACTGGTTTTAATCATGCATTAAATATTAATGTAATCTCTGACATAATTATGTGACTACATAACTAAACCTATTATAATATATCACCAACATATTAAATGCTGAATTATAACAACAAAGAATTACACAGCTGAGGTAAAGAAAACATGGAGCCCTATTAGAGGACCAGCAAATCTAAAGCCTTTTGTGGGGCTTGAAGCACTGGTCTCGTTTTTCCAGATTGGGGACTCTCTCCACCAGTTACCCCCAGTCAGGAAGTGTGAGTATTGCTAGAATACTCTGAGTTGCCAGACCGTCCTCACATTGGATGGTTATATTATGCACTGCAAAATTATTATGCCCCATTTCTGTTCTCAACACAAAGTGATATTACTTCAAGATAAATTTCTCTTTCCAGTGTGAATAATTCTATTTAACACGTTAACTACTGTCTTTAATATCAGTCACTTAGTGAAGTTTAGTTTGACAACACTGTACACTGGAAGATTAGGGCCAGTGTAAGGGGGACAGACTAGAGGTAGCTTAGCAGAGAAGGGAAAGATTCTTCCAAAAATCAGAGGTGGTAGTTTAATTCTCACTCATAGATCACATATTTTCTTGGGGCTTTGATACACTAGCCACATTGTACCCCCTCTTCCCCATAAGTCTTCATGGCACAGAGCTTAATTAAGCACAGGGACAATTTTACCTTTGCAGGGGAAAAGATATGAAGAAAGCATAAGGAATAAATGAAGGAACACACAAAGAGATTAACAAACTATTCATTACAACTGCCATAACTTTATGCCTCAACCAACTAACAGTTCTAAATGACCCTGCGACTGGCACAAACACTGAGAACAGCTGAAACCTGCAATGGAAGATTGTTATCACAGTACAGTGCAATCCTCCAGTACAGGTTCTGGCTCTATTGCATGTTAGTATGCATGTATGTGTGTATGTGTGCGTGTATGTGTGTGCGATTGTTGATCTCATTACTCAGATTTCTGTGATCGCTATGTTAGGATTCTGAAGTGCGTTTATGGGGCTGAATAATCATGACCAATGTCGCACTAATGTGCCACTAATGATCCACACTAATAAACAGAACACAAGCACCGACGCAGAGAGGTAGGCTCTTCCGCAGTTGCCACACAACTTAATCTCACTCTCCTGAAAAAATAACAGCAACACATTTAACAACGCTCTGTACCATACAAATATTATGTGATGCTATATAGTTTATGTATTATGTACTACACAGTATCACATACCAGAAATCATAATCTTAACCTATCGGCATCAGCTAATATAGTAGTACCATGTAACACTTGGATGAACCATGGGTTTGTTTACAAAATTATTCCATTTTCTTATTATTACATAATTTTGGCTTTTCCTCACAGATAGCAATGATATTCAGCTTTTGGTTATACCTTAGAGCGCCTCAGTAGCACACTTGTGCAATCCCAGCATTCATGGTACATCTTAGTGGCAGTTAGATACTATTTTTTGTAATTTTTTCCATAAATAAATACAACCTCAATTTATTTTCCTGTGTCCAGAAACATCAGTTCCAATGGGTTAATATTCACTATAGGCTGCGCCATAGCTCAAGCTCACTGGTTTCCCACCGTGGCGATCAAGTGGGATTTGTGGCGGACAAAGTGGCGCTGGGGCGGGGTTTCTCCGAGTACTTCGGTTTCCCCTGCCAATCTTCATTCCACCAATTTCTCCATCATCATAATCATCCGGGCAGGCTACGATAGGCCAATCAGTGGCCGCCGTGCCAAGTGGACCCATTTGGACTCCACCCCCACTAAGTGAATTTAAAAAAAAAAATTTTTTTTAATATTCGCCATCAAAGAAAACCTGAAATTTCAAATATCAAATCATCTTATCCATAAAATAGTATTGGGATGTCTGAAGAGAAGATAGACAGATCAGCTGGAGACATAACACGTTCCACAGCTTAATATGTTGAGAAGAAGGTGAAACTTTTATTCAGAGATCAACTGCTTAACCAAAGGAAGGATCAGATATTCCTTGCATCTACAAAACTTTGTAGGATTTGGGTAATTATATCCACGTGTTAAGTGAGCTATCTGCAAAGCCATTCAAAATTATCACCCCCGTGTTCAGCAAAACATCTCTGATTCTATATAGGATCAATATTGAACGCCTTGGGACTCACCTCCGGGTGGTAATTCATGCACTTGGGTGGCCGTCGCCTGTACATCACCTCCTGTGGTTTGATACGACACTGTGTGGTAACTGCCACACCCTGCATTGACTCATAGATCACCTCCTGTGGTGTGATACTCAGCTGTTTACTGCCGCACGGACACAGCGTGTCCACAACCAGAAGGATGAGGTTACTTCGTGGGATCTTCTGAACGCTGAATGGTCTAGGGTAAGAAAACATGCACAGCTCTGAGATAAAGGACAATTCTCAGGAGACTTGAGGTTGCCATAGTGGTGACTGTCCTCAGGGATGTAAAGCTGTGCAGTATAGCAGACTGTTAGTGACATTTCAGAAGAGCTGCTGACTCCAGGAAGAGATACAGCTAAAGGAAGAGGAAAGGTTAGGGACCTGATGAAACCAACTGAAGTATAGATGATGGTGAAATAATATGAAGCCATTAAATTGTTGGAGGACACATATATGGACCTACAGGATAAGGTAAGATAGAGCTCCATGCAGGCATGATGAACTCTGCCAATGCAAGTCATTGAATCCCTTCACTTCCTTCATGCAAGAACGTAGGACACCTCCTCTTTATGATTTACGCTTAGTTAGTTCTTGACCAGGACTGGTGTACACTGCACCTATTAGTGTGTCCTGCCTCTTCCCTTCTTCTGTACCCTTCTTATTAGTTGTTCCTGTTTCTCCCCTGGTTATTTATATTTACTGTCATGGTAGTTTAGTTGGTTGAGGCACTATGCTACAAGCCGGAAGGTCATGGGATCAAATCCCGATGAGGTGGATTTTTTAAATTTACCTAATCCTTCAAGCTGCTTTATGGCCCCAGGGTCGACCCAGCCTCTAAAAGAAATGAGTACCAGGAATTTTCCTGAGTGGTAAAGGGCAGCCAGCGTGTAAGGCTGACAACCTCATCGCCATCTATGAGCCGATTGTCTAGAAAATGTGGCAACCGCAACATCTCACAACCCTATGGGCCTCCAGGGATACCATTACTTACTTTACCGTCTACTCTGATCTCTGAATCAGCTCCTGTTAATCTTCCATCACCGCTCCCTTTCACTGTGCCTTTAAATAGGGCCCCATTAAGGATCACTTTGTCTTGCCTGACTTCCTTCTGCTGCCTATTGGTTCATTACAAGCAGCAACGAAAGCCATTATGACTCCAAATCTCTTTACCTTTGAAAAACAACACTTCTAGATGTCTGAGACGCTTTCCTTACTTCCATTCTTCCACTCACATCATTCCCAATACTCAAGCAAGCCACAACAATCTCCTTCATGCTGTATGATTTTGAGGTCTGGGGTTTGGTTCATAACTCAGACACTGAACCCATATGCTTTCTGGTTCATTATTCACAATAGCACTATTTTGTGCTTTATAGCATATTCAGCTGTCTGAGGCTGTCACGGCGGTGACTATGAAGAAAGCAGTCTTCTGGGATTTGTCACCTTATACATGTGGTGTTAACTGATGTTTCAGAGGAACGTATCGCCTCCATCTTCAGGGTAGAAGGGAAAATATCAGAAATCCACAAGCAGTCTGCTTTTACCAGTTCTCATGGTCTCTTCGCTTGCGAATTTCTTATATTTTTCCTTCTACCCTGAAGATGGAGGCGATACGTTCCTCCGAAACATCAGTTAACACCACATATATAAGGTGACAAATCCCAGAAGACTGCTTTCTTCATAGTCACCGCCGTGACAGCCTCAGACAGCTGAATATGCTATAAAGCACAAAATAGTGCTATTGTGAATAATGAACCAGAAAGCATATGGGTTCAGTGTCTGAGTTATGAACCAAACCCCAGACCTCAAAATCATACAGCATGAAGGAGATTGTTGTGGCTTGCTTCAAGCGAAGCATTTGTTTAAGAAAACGACAAAGAAACTCACTCAAGATAGTGAGTGAGCCGGCTGAGGTTCGAACATTGTTCTACCTGTAGAGAAATCTAGAAAACTATCACTAAACCAACTTGCATGTTTCAAACAAAGGGTCTATGGATACCGCAGTGCACTGGCTAGGGGAGGAAACAGAGCTGCAAGCAGTACAGTTCAACAGCCGAGGGGCACCCACCTCTCGCACCCAGTGATATGGCAGTTCGTCAGCTTGCCCTTCAGCGGGTTGAATTGTCCACTGGTGTTGAGACGGTCAGGTTGCAAGACATACAGGTCCACACGCTTGTCACACGGTCGAGGCATTGTCCTGTTGTTTGCAAGCGGTGATGTTGGTGTGCTGGGGGGAAGCTGCTGTTTTATCTGCGTCTCTGAAGGGCTGCCTCCGTTCAGTACACGTGTCTCATCTCGTGTTGAGTACTGGTCAAAATTGTTGGTTTCATAGTCTTCTGAGTAGACAGTACCTGAATTCAACCCAATCCTCAAGTGAGAAAATCTTATTTTTATATGAAGATTATTGTCTTCTAGAATGTGATGCTGTGTAGTCTGACGGATATTTACCAATGTTTCGGAGGAATCTGCTGTGCCTTCTTCAGGATAGAAGATGAATATGAAGGCAGCAGGTTCCACAGAATGTTGGTAAATATGTAGCAGACTACACTGTGGTACACCTGATAGTAATCTTCAGTTACCACTGTGAGAACCTTGTATCTCAGAGACCATTCTATAAGATCACAACATTGAAAGGGTTAATGTGTCTATACTTGCCATCATCATCGGAGAGGACCCAGTTGGGGAACAGGTTTATCTGCATGGCAAGCCACACCACACGGCTGAATGCCCACTGCAAGAGCCATCTAAATGGCTGCAATGCCTGCAACAGTTTTAAGTTTGTATGTACCAGTTGGATCAAGCAGAAGGCATTTTTTTAAAAAGATGATGAAAATAGATGGGTCTATGGGATTGAACATCACATGTTTGAGATATAGGTACTAGAAGTCCATCTTGCTTACAGAGGGTCGGGTGGCGTCATCACTGTATGGAGATTTCTGATCAAGGCAGGCTCCCTGGTAGTCATACACAGCCACTTTCTTGTAGATGCGATCCTGCACAAGTGAGTCCATGATGGTTCCATCAATTTGACCAAAGAATTTTCCTGTATGATCTGCACTTTCGGACAGGATGATGAATCCATTGTTGTCCAGTACGTAACAGTCCAGTTCTTCGGATGCACAGGTCTTCTTGCACCCCATGCACTATGGGCAAAATTACATGTGTTACTGCTTATGTAATTAGAAATGTGGACAACACTGACATCACACATTTCTCGTCAGTCTCAATTATAGCTTACACAAATCTACAGCCTGCAGAAGAAATTCGCCACTGCATAACTAACTTCATGACGTAGAACATTTAATCGGGATTACTGGGATTTTGGATTTCGACCATTGTCCAGTAATCTGAAGAACACTGATGAACACAACTTTTCAGAAACCAGACCTGTTGTCACCCAGTGAGGGGGTGAGAGACAGCAACTCTGTTGGGTCCATTAGAAAGACCAATCTGGGTTCAGTGATTGAGGGTAACTCTTTCTAATGGACCCAACACACTCGGTATCTCCTGCTCCTTTACCTAAGGATGAAAAAGGATTCAGTTTCCAAAACGTTGTGTTCTTCACAATACCAAACGATGGACAAGTACAAAAACCCAGCAACCCTGATTGTTATACAGCATCATCAGAGTCCTTCAGAATCTACTAGTAGAATACGTCTTGAGAAGCTGACAGTTACTGATTGTGTTGGACACAAGTTGTCCTGGGTATGTTACAGTGGTGGTCTATGATGGACGCACTAATAAATATTCAGGTTCTGTACAAGGGAGGATATTTCTTGACTAGTTAGCAATCATCAGCTTCTCATTAAGGATTCTGAAAGTGACCAAGCGGGCTCAAGTGCTAATGCTTCTGCCATGTACTCAGAAGGTGCTTGCTTCAAATCTTGGCTAGAATACTGACTAATCTAACTGAGGCTTTTTGTCATTATTCTCAGCTTCTATAGGCAAATTCTGGGGTGGTGCCTCAAATTAGGTCACGTCCAATTCCTCCACATCCTTTATAATTCATTATTCACTAATCATTCTACCACTAGACACTACATAATCTCGACTACTGATATCATTGTCAAATAGGGTAAGGTTGTAGTTGTCTGTACGCTTAATGGAGCACCATGGCCAAGAAGACGTAAGAAGGGAGTACAGCTATAGCTCCATGTATTATTAATCTTGACACGAAATAAAGGTGAGTGGTCAGGTTCGTATCTGTAGCACTCTTGTCTCCAGTACCCACTGGATAGGAGCTAATCTGGATATTGCGAAGAGGAATATCTCTTGCCCTTGCTGGGAATCAAACACCAGCAGCTTTGCTGTCTCGCCCTTAGTCTAGTTCCTACACTAACTCATCTATCCTGGCTCCCACATCATTAAATCAAAAATAAATAAGGACTTTGCACCACAGAACTACAGTGAAATTCGTATTTAACAAATCCCTAGAGGAATGATTTTTCTTACTCAGGGGTTATGCAATAATTACGTCTAACCATTGATTCTAATTAATTATAACTTTACTTGTCAAAGATTACAGCTGAGAGTGACGACTGATGACAAAGAAACAAAAATGAAAAAATCGGTTTTCATGTGAACCATAGTCACACTAAACTGATGTATGAAGATCAAATATTTTTTACGATAAATGAGGATTATTTACTAAATCAAAATTCAGAAAATATGAGAAAATAATTAACTGTTTTTGTGACTTCAAGAAATATTTGTCAAATATGGAATTTCACTACAAACAAGAACAATACATCTGGATTTAATGGTAGTTATGAGATGGGTAGATGGTTCTGAATTGTCGGCAGTTAAGGATTTCAAAGGAGACAGTTGTCATCTATTTCATAATACTGTGCTACAATTAACCTGGTCAGAATGAGAGAAATCACAGAAACCCTCAGTCAAGATAGTCAGTACCCCAGCAAACATTCGAACTAGGCAGCTTTTGACAAGTACAAGCAGTACCATATTCTTGCTTGGGGGGGTCAGATGTATATTACGACTCTACCACAATTGCTGATGGTAGCGTAGTTGGTTGAGGCACTATACTACAAGCTGGAAGGTTGTGGGATCGAATCACGATGAGGTCATTGGATTTTTTTTTTCAATTTACCTAATCATTCCAGCCATACTATGGCCCTGGGGTCGACTCAGCCTCTAACTGAAACGAGTACAGGAATTAATTAAATAATTTTCCTGAGGAGTAAAGCACAGCCAGTGTGTAAGGCTGACAACCTTACCGCCATCTTTGAGCTGACTGTCTAGATAATGTGGAACCCTCAACGTCTCACAGCCCTATGGGCCTTCACGGCCTGGTACAGGGATAGCTTTACTTAGTTACTACAATTGCTGATGTGTGCTTACTGTGGAAGTAATGTTGAGGAAGTGGGAAGCCAGACTGGAATGTTGAATCTGGAGACCAACCACTGCTGCTGGTGCGCGGTGACCTTTGTGTTCTATGAACACAGCGTGCGTGGCTGTCACTAAGGGCTTGCTGCTTGAGGCAGCATCAAATGGCACCGAGAAGACAAAGCTCTCTGGTTCAAGGCTGTGCTGGTCCACTGCCCTCTTGTACCAGACTTCGTCTATTGCACGCCGGTTCAGCTCGCTGAAGTGCCTGCAAGCAAAGTGACAAGTCTCAACACAGCATCACATTATCATCATACTCATCATAATAAACCTGCTGGCAATGCAGTAACAACCCTGACTCATATTTGGGAGTGCTTGATTCAAATCTCAGCCAGAACATTGGCTATCCTGACGGAATTTTTTCATGGTTTTCCTGTCTCTCCAGGCAAGTTGTGGGGTACTACTTATCTTTATGGTATGCATCCTGTTGTGTTGCACTACCTGTTTCGAGCATGAGTCCTAAGCCAAATTTTAAGGCTATTTAGAATGAATCCAGAACCAACACATAATTAGAGTAGGGATTTATATTAATAAAATTTTAAAAAATTGAAATTAAATTTTATTTCAAGAACATATTACATTAATATTTATTAATATTAAATACAAACTATAATATATATTAGTCTTAATCAATTTTAAACTTAGAAAAAAACCGTATATTACCAGAGTTTTTGGGTGTATTGTTAGGTTACACTTTATAAGGTGTATTCACTATTAAAAACAAAACCAAATTGTAAAATACTGATTCACATTAAGGTAACTCAGTTCAAGAACTTACACAGATATTCTTGTGACTTGCCTGATGATGACCTAGGAAAGACTGAAACATGTAGCATAACACTTGTGTGCAATAAATAATACAAAAACAAATGCTGATACATTAGCATATATTTTGCCTTCATTTTGTTAGAATGTATTCTTGTGTAGATGGCCCAACTTGTGCTACTGGGTAGTACTTAGTTAGGCCACGACTGTTCAGTTCCAAATCCTTTCCAGTTAATCATTCATCTGTCATCCTACCTGTTGATGCTATATAGTCTAGATATCAGCAGCATCATAAAATATCCACAACAAAAATATCCATCATCTGTTTTAATTATTTCTATTAAGATTGATATCTTCTGAAGTGTGAAAACATGAATTTAGTTATTTATGGTCTACTTAACAATACTCTCAGCAGCTCAGACTAAACAGTGTTGAATTGTAGGGTGAGAGCCAGCAATGCTGAAATGGAAAGTATGTGGAAGGAAGCAGCCATGAGCTAATTTAAGGTACTATCCTGACAATTGCTTGGAGGGACTGAGGTAAACCACGAAAACAGCAGTCAGGATAGCAGGTATCCTGGCAGAGATTAAAACCAGATCAATCCGGAACATAAGTTTCACACGAACTAACCAACAAAATAACTAAGTAACTAACTCCATGAAGTTGAGAAGCCACTGGTTGCACAACTAGTCAAGAATTTTCCAAAAATTCTATGGAACCCAAAGGTTCATTACTGTGTTCACAAGAGCCCTCAACTGGTCCATATCCTGAGCCAGATCAATCTAGTTCACACCATCCCATTCTATCTCTGTAAGATACATTTTAATATTATCCACCCATGTATGTCTTGGTCTTCCTAGTGGTATCTTTCATTCTAGCTTTCCCACCAAAATCCTATAGTAATTCCACTTCTCCCCCATTTGTGATAACTTTCACATTGCACAAATATGATAAAATTATCATTTACCTGAAAAGTCTAAGTTTAGCCTCATATGATATATGATTCTTGTAATATTAAGTTGTAACTGATAAGTCTGTATCAGCATTAAGATTGCACTGACTTAATGGAGAATATAAAAACTACTTACGACGTCGGCTGTCCGCTTTCCCCCATGGTACGATGGGCATGATCCTGCCACCTCAGAAGCCCACTGCGCGTCGCTATGAATGACAGAGTCACTCCGAACATTTGGTAGCCTTGTCTGTAAAGACAGGATATTATTAACTTCTGGAAGAATGCCCTTGATATCTAGGAGGATGTCTCCACCACCAACATCAAATTGAACACAGGATGTCTGTAACCAGAATGCAAAGAAAACAAACCTAACCATGCATACACACTTCCTGTTCTTTTTCAGATTTATTAATTCTTGACAAACAGACATAACTATGGGAAATATACATGAGGTAAGACTCAGGGATGATGGATAAGAAACAGCAGCATAAGTGAAAGTGCTATTTTGCTTCTAGATTATTTAATCCTTAAAAAACATAAAGAAGGTAAAGAAGAAGGGAGAGAAAAAGGAAGTGGATGCAAAGGTTGCTGAGAGACACATTTTTATTGGGTGGGAAATGTTTGAAAGTTTCTGAGCACTGAAGGCTTCAAACCAGAACTTGCCTGTTCTTCTGGTTGAAGAGTTCAAACCCAGAGTTCAGCTAAGTGTTTTCTAAAAATTCAATTCCAAATAGAAAACACTGCATTACCATTGTATAGGGAAATAATCACCGTTTACTGTGAGAATTATACTGGACACATACACATATCTTCTGTAGGCAAAATGCTAAGTTTTTTAATGTTAAATCTGGTAGTGTGAATTGTAACAAGTGTGTCTTAAATGAGGCTCTTACATATTTCAAGGCAAGTAATCTTCCTTGGGGGTAATGGGCGGCTAACGCGCAAGGCTGACAACCTCACCACCATCTGTGAGCCAAACATTTAGAAAATGTGGGAACCTCAACCCCTCACAACCCTATGTGCCTCCATGGTCTGTTACAGGGATAACTTCATCCTTTTTTTTTTACCTTCTAAGATTATGGGTACAGTATTTATGCAGTGACTGAAATATGTACATGAATTTTAAGTTACATTTGAGACTGTGGTGGAGCAGGTAAAACTTGTGCTCATTTAAATGTTGCTGTTTGAACAAAATAATCCCAAGGTATGAGAAACAAGAAATATACAGCCTATTCATAGCCAACTGGACTTTACCCTCTGTATCTGCAACCTACAACAAGGTAGGTTCTAATATCATCTTTACCATAAATTCAACATTTTGCAGGAAGTTGTACTATGTTATGAAGTTGTATTATGGGGACATGAGCAAACCTGTGACATATCTAATCCACAGTATGAGGACCAACTGTAATAATGGGTAGCAGGCCCAGTATGGGTCAAAATTAAATTATTCTGACAACTTTCTGTGTCAGTTCACGATACTAAATTATTTCAGAGACAAAACATACATATTGACAAATATAACCTCATTATGTTTTCATTTTATATCTTCATGTATATATGTCACACAAAAGATGTATAAGCATAAAAATCATCATTAATGATTCCATGCCAGATTAGATTGCTTGTAGCTAGAGTAGGAAACAAAATGTCACTGTGACAATTTAAATATCTTTACTAACACCTGAATATATTTCCTTTCCAGGTACAGTATTTATACAGACATTTGGATGCCTATGTTGTTACCTCATTGCAAGTAACAACATCGTTTACTACAACAAAATATGCTTCATAGCATAGGAAAGTCTCCGAATAAGTTAAAACTTTCAGTATCCATTTAGATGTTACAGACATCCTGCAATTTTCACATGAAAATGTTGCAATCCATTTTGCCAGGATCACTGATTCTGCAAAACATATCATAAAGACATTAACTCCTGCTGTTATGCGAACAAAAGGAAGTAAGCTAAGTTCCAAGCAACATATGTCATGTAAATACATATGTAATACTTATTTTACACTCGATAAATAATGCTCTTGAGTACACAACTGAAACATACAAAATATTTATTAAACCTTTCAAATGTTTTGGTTGCTATATTTACCACCTGTTTTAACATTAAAATTCTGCAAATTTTGTAACATTTATGGGTTTCATATGATTCACACATTAAACAGCATCTATTCCCCAAATAGTACTGATTAACTGAACCTGTAAAAGAGAATCCCTGTTTCACTATAAGCAGGAACACTGTTTTTGTTACCAAATATCACCATCAAAAAAATTAAGGGGGTTACACAGACAGATAGATAACAAGGTGATCTCTTAAGCCTTCACTTATTTTCTGCAAACAGGAAAACTAGGCTAAAAATTAAAAGTAGACTTATGAGATTACCTTGATGTCTGTGTGTCTGTATGTGGACTCCCCAACAATATTTTCTAGGCAACAACTCTGCTTGCTAAGCAATGGCTTGGCAACGTGTTCCTGTGGCAATGAGTGCACGTGCAACAATAGAAGAATTATATCTGTCATTATCCCTGCGGTCCATGTCATATCAGAGGAAAGTAGACAAATAGTTCTACATAGAACTTCTTGAATATCACTTGGATGAATTTCTCATAACTCAGTCCACTACCTACTACTTTACCTCTTCCACTTCCCAACAGTTTACATTGTCTCCAATCTACCTTTACTGGAAGGACAAGGAGTCACTGTCTGGGAACCTTCAGAGCTTGAAATTTTCTGTACTCCTTCACCCGGTGGAATATAGTATCCCTAAATGCCCCCACCCCCACTTTCTCTTCTCCCTCACTGTCTAGTTCCCTATGTAGCTGCAAAGGGTTAAACCGGCAGGGAACAACCATAGACAAGGAGACGGGGTAAGAGAGAGGAAAGGGGAGAAACAGTATAAATGAGAACTTGTAAGACATTAAGAAAGACACTTTAAAACACTGACTGGAATAATGTCCAGCATTAATAGGCTGGTGCTGTAGAAGGAAATAATTGTTGTTTGTTCTGACAGTCATCCAGAACACATGAATACACTACTTGAGCGAAATACAGAGATTCTGAATGGTAAAGCAGGTGGTACATACAATAACCACAGTGCTTTAAACTGTCCATGAAAGAGATATATACCAACACTGGGAATAAATGGCTAATGAGTACACTTGATTTCTGTAATACTTAACTCTGAAGCCTGAAATACATCTAAATAATACTTAAAAAATCTGTCTCACAGAAAACACACTGAACATCCAGTACAGATATCTGCTAGTTACTGCTGTTTGGGAGAATAATCACTTTTTATTCTGAGAATCACACGAAACCCCCAGAAACCCTATGAAGGCAAGATGCAGAATTTTTAAAGTTATAGCAATTGGTACTTGTAGTTAGCACCATACTTTGATGTGTTACTAACATACAAACAAACAAAACAAACTCTGTGATTTTAGACTGCAAGTGAATTATACCAACCAAATGACCACCTCTTGTCGGTGACGTTTATTTGCCAACTTTTTCAGAGAGAGGGTGCCACGTGGCCAGCACAATGAATCCCCACGGCCGTTAATTTCGGTTTTCTAAACCGAAACCGCTATTTCCTTGAAATACCTCCTCAATTATCATCACAAGGCTGAGTGAACCCTGTTCCAGACCCACTACTTCTCAGAAAAAATTTGGTAGCGCCAGAAATCAAACCCGGACCTCTGGATCTCTAGCCAGGAACTCTTGACCACTAGACCACAGAGGTCAACTGTTCTTTAAATAATGTTAGTAAGTGTTACTAACATTATTTCAAAAACAAAATTTGTGTAGCATTGATTAAGACAGGAAGATAATCACGAACGGTGAGTGAATGTTTTTGGAAGAACTTCCTACTGTTTGCTTGCAGAAACTAAGAAACTCTGTAAGAGAAACCTCGTGGTTCAGATTGAAACTGGTTACCATGCAAATACAAGTGTAGAGCATTATGCCTACATCAAGTTTCTGGTATTTCTGATTCTGGAACAGAGTAAAATGACATAATATGATGTGGAGTGAATGAAAACGTCAAACGAAGACAGCCTGCTGGGAAATTATTTAACTGAATGTACGATAAGACTTTTGTATAAGTCTAAAATAAATGCTGCAAGAGACATTAAAGACAATGACATTGATCCAAAATATCAGCCATATATATAAACATCATCATTAAAATCTGTAAATATTTTGAACAATCTGTGATAAAAGGTATAATTTCATTAATATCATCCAATTCTAAAGAGTTTAGATAATGGTCTATTACACTCAGTATTTATGGAGTCCTGAACTTTGTCCATCATCTAATATTCCAAACAGATGATAGCATGTAGGATTTGAGGTTCACACACTGGTGGTTATCAACAGTTCTATCTTTTGGGAGATAACGCTATGTGGTCAGATGAAAGACAACCAAGATTTTGGAGGAACACGTCACCTCCATCTTTGTTGTTCAAGAATAAGCCGAACGAGAAACCAGCATGTAGCAGGTGGCAAGCAGAACCCTTTCAGTGGACTACACAGCATTATATCCTTGAAGACAGAAATGTTTTAGATTACAGCATCTTGGAAACTGCATCTGATTCCATTGTCAGGTGACCGAGATTAGTAATTTTTACAAACAGACCAAGTTTTAAAACCATTGTATCCTATTCAGTATAGCAGATGAATGACAAAGTCCAGACATCCTGTAATCCTAACAAGATCACATAATAACTTAATGCCTTCAGCTGTCAGTAAGCATTAACATTTACATACATACGTATAAATAACCCACAGTTTAATTTAAAAGGTTCAGTAGAATCAAGATTATGGTCTTATGGGATGTGACACCACATACTTTGGTAGAGAGATACTAATGTCTCAAAGGAACTTACTGCCTCCATCTTTATGGTAGAAGAGTAAGAAATGGCAGAGAAATGGTACAGATACAAGAAATGAAAGAATGAAACCAGATAGAACCCGTGGCTCTGGAAAGCACTGTTTTCAAAAGGAAGATGACCGAAGAGAAAACATTTGGGGGGTAAAGTGAAGGAAGAAGGGTACAAGACAATCCACAAAGAATAAATACAGAAGGAAAAATGTAAGGAAAAGACCAGTAAGAAAGAGTGACACTGCAAAGGTTTGCTTTTAAAGGGTACAAAGGCAGGAGAAATTAAGATGAGCATGAAAGAAAGATGGATAGGAGAGGAAAAACTAAAATATAATTAGATAAATAAAATAAGAGAAAATAAGAGGAAGAGGTGTAGTAAAGATATGGTCTCCTTTCAAGATACAGATCATCACAGGGAAGACAGAAACCTTAATTTTCACTGCTGTGAAAATCTTAAATCTCGTATTCTGAACAGTACAGTCACTATTTTTGCTTGTTGTACTGTCTTACAATGACATGCATATTAAATTAACATTAAACAGTAACAAGAGTGAATAAATATTTTCTTAACTATTCTTCACGAAAAAATTCCTTGTCAGACAACAGAACTAAAAATTAATATTTTTCTTATTGCTAGTGGGGTGGGACTAAGTCCCTTGTACTGTGGCCAATTCTGGCCTATTGTACCAGCCCCAGATGATAGGTGAGGTTGATTGTGGAGCAATTGGTGGAATGAAGATTGGCAGGGGAAACCGAAATACTCGGAGAAACCTGCCCCAGCGCCACTTTGTCCACCACAAATCCCACTTGACCAGACCCGGGATCGAACCTACGCTGCCACGGTGGGAAGCCAGCGACTAACCTCTTGAGTAATGGCGCGGCCCTAAAAATTAATATGTAACACATGTTGAGCCCTTGAAGGTAGCTACCACTAGGAAGTGAGATTTTTCACCCATATTTCCCTCAAAATCTGTTATTTTGAAAACGTCGTCAACCGAAATTGATTCTGTTACCATTCTTTAACCTTACAAGCTGCTGCATCAATTCCAATAATGACAAATGAGAACTTACTTCATAGAGAATACAACTCAAAACACCAAAAGTTCTTACTCATAATAGACCATCTATCTTTATTAGAATATTTCCTTTATAAATTCACCAGCAGACGAATTTCAGCTTGTTGACCAACTTAGCAACACAACTGCTAGTGAATTTATGAAAAAAATGTTGTGATAAATGTAGATAGTCAATGATAAATAATCTTGATAATACACACCACAGACATGAATTCAATCAAAATCAATATACAACACTTATGAAGACTTGACAGCTGCACTTTCGCAAAGTCTTTGGTGTTAAGAAGCCACCAAAAACCATTTCTATGCTTAAACAGTGACAAAGTTATAATCCATTTGAAGTAGGCTGGAATAAATCTGTTACATTATTATAAAAGAGATGTATAAAATATAGTATGAAATGTATATGTATGAAAATAAATATAGTAATATTTCATGAAAACCAGAAATGTAAAATTGAGAGTAATGCGGTGCATTAAAATGTTATGTTACTTCATACTTACCAATTCTTCTGGAATGCTTACATATTACTTTTCAGTGTGTATATATTTAAACAGAGAAGAAAATTATTGACATATTATCATCAGATACCTGAAGAATGCATCAGTGATTACAATTATTTCTTTTCATAAACAGTGTGTCCTAATTTGTTTCTACATTTATGGAGTATTTAATAACTTAGATGCTGTGCGGTCCGTCCAAATGAGCAGTATAGGATGACAATATAGAAGGCAGGATACAGTGACATATTACATTAATTTCTTATTCTTCTTTGAGCTTATTGATTTCCATAATACCATGTTCTGTCACCCTGTACTTATTAATCACTCTGGTGCTGTTCCTACCATCATGATACATTTCTTGTTACCAATTATTTTTGGAGGGCTTCTAATGGCATGAGAATCAGGGGTCAACAAATGATGACTCATTTCACCAGTACGACAAAATTTCTAATCATTTGATACTTCTCCTCAAGAGAGACAACTACCCATATCACTGTTAACTCGCACCTCTGTTAATCTTAGCATTCAAACTGAAGGTTATTGTCAATTGGGCAGCATTCCTGCTTCTTATTCTGGAGGTGACGGGGCTGGGTTCGAATCTTGGTTCAGAGACTATCAATCATTCCAGGCAAATTCAATTAAGGCTAGAATCACTTCCTTCCATATCCATTCCAATTCATGATCCTAGTGTCATCTGATGCTACAGAGTATGAGGTCCTGACTTACAGACTGCATTGCTGGACAGGCCGTAAATAAATAAATCAATCAATCAACATTCAAATATGTCAAGGTCACATAAACAAAGGCCTCATATCCATGGCAGTTACAAATTTACTGTTCCATATTGCAGAGAGAGAAAAAAACACAGGAATAGTGTAGTGGATATATTAACACATAAATTATAAAATTTTTTCACTGGTTGATCTCAATTTTTTCACGTTATAGGCAAGCAGGTTAATTTGTTCAGCCCTGGTACTGATCATGTGAAGTTTAATCAAAATCCATCAAATCACTGAAATGTTAATATGGGAGGCAGACAGACAGATGGACATGCATGTATGAAAGAATATAATACTATCTTTCCTTAGAAGTAAGGAAAGTAGTTCACAAGTTGTCCAGGGTATATATTTTGTTTGTATGTCACTTATTAATAATATCTGAACCAACTGACTTGTTTCCATTAAACACATTTGTGCCAGTATCATGAAACTTCCAACACATTCGTTGGCCAGTATTCTAAAATTTATGTCATCTTATGAAACATCTTCTAACACAGATCCTATCATTATTTTTGAGCTCTTTTCTCTGTTTTTGACAAACACTTAAGGTTTATTTACTAAGCACTTACACAAAAGGTATGGGCTTAGCATTGATGACATTAAATAATCACATAAGCCCTGAATAGTAAAAATGAAAGTGTACTGGGGCTGTACGGCATCAATTCCTGGTAAAGTCTGTGAAATTTCAAATCGTGAGACAGAATTACAAAGTTCCACTGCTCATCCGTCTGGACCACAGACTAACAGTATGTGCTAGATGCAAGTGCAACTGCTTATATTTATTTACATGCTAACTAAGGTCCTTCACTATACATTACCTGTGCAATAGTGCCATCAGCATGGCTAATGGGCTATTGGTTGGGTGAAAACAGGACGCAATGACACAGTTAGTGGTGCAGTACAAGACACAGACAACAGAATATCGTCATATCATCGGTCTCCAGCACACAATTGCCAGGCTTTGCATGTCACTGTCAACAATTGATATGTGTGTATATGGGTTGTATTAGCATTTTAACAGCATGGGGACATGACCTTAATAGACGCAATATAAACAGACAACTACTGAAGTTACGCCTTTGTTTAACCATGAAACGTATGTGTTCCGGGGTCAAAAAGTACAGTCACCAGTGGTAAGTGATAAATTTGGCAGGCAACTAATTTAACACTCGATATACAAGAATTGGTGCCTATCTCACTTGGTTACTTTGGCGCAGACAAAATGGCAAACCACATCCAAAGAAGATAAGCTCAGCATTATTGCCAATTTGCCTCTTTTAAATTAACTTTTTTTTTTCTATTATCTTCTATCTGTGGTGCATGTGGTAGCATAGTTGGTTGAGGCACTATGCTACAAACTGGAAGGTCTCAGGTTTGAGTTCCAATGAAGTCATTGGACTTTTTCAATTTACTTAATCCTTCCAGCTGCAATATTGCCCTGAGGTTGACTCAGCATCTAACAGAAATGAGTACCAGGAAAGATTCCTGGAGGGTAAATGTCAGCTGACGCATAATGCTGACAACCTTACCGCCGTCTGTCTAGAAGATGTGGGAGCCTCGACCTCTAACACCCCTAGGGCCTTCATGGCCTGTTACAGGGAGAGCTTTTTTATTATCTTCTATCAGGACTGTGGATGTTTAAGTCACACAATATGACAGTAAGAAGAAATGAATCTTGCATACTGCCCAGAGGTGAGACACAACCAGGGTCCAGGAACTACCAACTCACCATTTTATGGTGAAAAATAAATTTTTCTCATTACCAGCTTTTAAAAAATTGTTTAACCCCTAACCATACTGGAAAAGGGTAAAATTGCCCCTGTGTTTAATTAATTAACTGCTATGTCATGAAGAGATATGAGGAAGTTGGGGCGCAGCTCCACCATTCTTGACCTCAGCAATAGATAGAGGTGAGTTGGTCAGCTTCATACCCCTGCTGTTTTCCCCCCAGGGAAAGAGTCCCCAGGACCCATCAGATAGGAGGCTGGTAGAACCCAGAGCTGGTCTGGACACTCCGGAGCAGAGAAAAATCTCTTGCCCCTGGTAGGAATTGAACCCTGGCCATCCAGTCCACAGTATGTCACTCTACTGACTGAGTTTAAATATATTGGATATACTCATAGACTTCCATAAATTTTCCACCTTTGCCTTTAATCATGTTTGACTTTCTGACAGATTTTAACATCAAGAAATAAGCCCTATGCACCCACTGAACATGAGAACATACCCTCAAGAAATATTTTCTATGATGCTGGAATAAAAAGCCTACCATAACCTGGTGTTGATCTGAAAACTAAGACAAGCACTCTTCTTAACAAACCACTGTGAAAGTCTGAAGGCTTCTATTGCAACATCATTTGACAGTTCCATGCAAAACCTTGCTTTTCCTCATAACATGCAAAATTCCCTTCTGAAATTCAATTGTTTTTATTTTGAAGGAATGTGATGGAATGCTTGTATATTAGGGTCATAAAGTTTCATCTCTGTTTTATGGGTTATCTTAATAAGAATTTCAAGGTAAAAAGGAAAGAGATGAAGTGTGTCTCTGTGCCTAAGAATCAAGATATGAAAGCATACATGAGGTGAGGAGGTAAAGCACCAATGAATGAGCTGGGCTGTATGTCAAGCCAAAGGAATCCAGAGCACAGGTCTGTCTGGTGATATATTTTAACACAATGAACTGGATTCAGTGATTTATAATTTAGATACTGACAGAAGTCTACCACAGTTTCTGACTCAGCCATGATTATGGGCCACCGTGTTGACTTCTACTAGTGACACCATTAAACTGGCACCAAGTATAGCACCAGGCGATAACTACAAACAGGAACTCACATCTGAGGTGTCTTTCAGTTGTACCTTCTACACGATTAGCATGGAAATAGAATAAAATTTAAAGAAAGACATTTTTATAACCTCAAAAAAAATTATCCTTGTTACATGTGACATTTGAAGTTCTCATAGCAATAAATTTTTCAGGGAAATAATTTCGTGAAGTCTGGTAGATAGGTACCAACGTTTTGAAGGAAACTTTAAGGCTCCATCTTCAGGACAGAAAAGGCACTGAGGATGGCTATGGTAGATTCCTCTGAAACATTGGTCTACAGATTACATGTTGTCACGCCAAAGAGAACTAAAATCTTAATACTCACTGCTGTGAAAGCCTTGTATCTCATAACCTAAAGTTACCTGTGGCTGGCCCTTCTGGACACCAAGTTATAAAATTTAAGAATTATTTTTGTTAAAACATACAATTTCCTCCTTGATCAGATAAAAGTAAAGTAAAATTACTCTTATTTCTAAGTGCAGTACTATGGAGGCACCTAGAAGAATAAAAGTGTAGTTCCATTGATTCTATCCTTGTCAATAGATTGGGATGTGTGGTCAGCTTCATGCTCTGGCTGCTTTACCCCCTGGGAAAGAGTAACTGAAACCCATGGGATAGGAGGCTGCGTGGATCCTATAGCGTGTCTGGATGTGATGAAAAAGAGAACACTTCCCATTTAATTTGTAGGTAAAACCAAATTAAATTCAGTATTCAAAGCTTCTGTTAATGTTATAATGTGTAGTTTCTTTTCCATTTCTAGATTTCTATGAATCTTTATAACCTTAATATGGTTCTTGTCATCCTGTGACATGGAAGTCAAATATAGGTACAATACATGACTTATCAGTTTATTAATTGTAATATTCTGCTCATCAATCATTTGCTGACTTATTTTGCTTTGTTGTGCATTTCAACCACTTCAGTACTAAAATAAAATTAATGCATGGGCTATAATATATTGTTTATGTGAAATCTAGGGTTCTGAAACAGGCAAGTGTTCATGTTACAGTCATCTGCGATGTGCCAATTTGTAGTTGATGGAGAAGCACCGATATTTAGGAGGAACCCGCTGCCTCCATTTTCAGGTAAAAAATGGAGCAGGTTTCTCTGAAATGTAGGTACTTATTTACCAAACTACACACTGCCAAAACCAAGAATATTGTAATCTGATATGTATTTCCTGTTACAACAAATAAATATAAATAAAATAGTAATTTTATTGGATAGGTGAATTTGATGAACGTTTGTCTTTTGTTTGTATACTGTTTTCGAGTAAAATAATTATAAAATTCTTGTTTTTATGAGGACACTTTTCCCATCTTAATATCTTAAACTAAAACCATGCTGCCAGCAACTCAGTACAGGGAGATTTTCAATTCCCAATTCTGAATTAAAACTGGACCATAAACCTCATGTTACTAAAAAATTTGAAATCTCTCTATTTTCAAAAAATTAATGTTATCCTTGAATGAAATTTTGTGTTCCAATCTCACAGTGCTGGGAGATTTAAAATTCTCCATTCCAAGATGATAAACTATTACCCCTGAATTAAAATCAGGCTGCCAACCCAAAAGTGGTAGGGGATTTAATTCTATCATTCATGAATGATGAAATGTTACCCCCCACAAATTAAACTCAGAGTTCTGTGGGGCTCTTAATGTGTAGTTTTGTCATTACTCCGATGACAACCCACTTCTTCGGAACAGTTTGTTGGTCCTGAAAAGGACCGTGGTTGCTGAGATGTTTGATTGGAGAGGTAGCGCGGCGCGCGCCGGTAAGGAGAAAGGCTAGTTACGGTGAATGGCTGGTGAAAGGCTAGTCGTTGAGCGCGGTCGCTGGAGCAGAGAGGCGGTAGCTACGCCAGTTGCCCAGTGTGCCAGGTATGACTACCGGCGAGTCCGTGCGGCCTAGTTGCCCAGTGAGTCGGGTGCGACCGGCAGACAGCCGTGGCAGTCATGCCTGGCGCAGCGAAGCGCCGATGCCTCCGTAGACCGAGCGCTGGCAACGAAGCCTGCCAGCTGATGTTGCTTGATTTGGCTAGCTCATAGACTGATGATGAACTGAATACTCGGAGTTGGAGCTGCCCCTTTTTATAGACTGCTCGGTGGGGCGGAGCAAAACTTGGAATTGAGGAGGAAGAACTGATTTGCTAGCGCACGTAATGACGTAGATGCTGGCTAGCAGGAGGCGCCGTATAAATGCGAACGTTTGAGGCAATCTGATTGGTTAGCACGCGTGATGGTGAAAAGTGATTTGAAGAGCGAGCGTTGCAGAAATGCGTGATAATGTGGGATTTTCCCACAGTTCCAACCCCACTGTAGTAGAAGATTTAAAATTTCTTGTTCCAAAATGATGTACTATTACCTTTGAATTAAACTCAGGTTGCTAGCCCCGCAGTATTAAGAGATTTTAACTTCCCTGCTTGTGGTAAATAAAGATTGAAGTGTAAAATTAAATGCAAATTTCATTTTTAGCATTGAAGCATTTGAAATTCTGACTGTATACACACACACTCTGACACACTTACCCACAAATCTCTCTGGCTGTACTTTATAAATGTAATGTGGTAGAAAGTATATCATTGTTTAAATGTCTGGTTTTACCAAAGTCATAACAATTGTAGGATCAGTCAGAATATTCAACATGTCTGTTGGTTTCTTATGCCACTTTATGTTGATCTGCAGCTGCTGGATTATGAAGCGTCAATGATAAGATGATATGAGTTATTTTGAGGGAAGGGAGAATAAGTGGTCGTGGCAAACAACTGACACATACTGACAAAGTTGTTCAAAGTCATAATATGTGCATCTGCCAGCACTTTATGTTCTGAACTTTGGGATGAAATAAAACGTGAGATTGCCAGAAAACATATTTTCAAAAAAGGCGAGCTGTTAAGAGGATAATTCAGGAGCTATTTCAAGGAAATGGCGGCTCTGGTCTAGAAAACTGAAATTAAAAGCCGTGGGAATTCGTTGCGTGGACCACGTGACACCCTCTATCTGCTAAAGTTGGCATTAACTTCGCCGACAAGCGGTCGCTCGGTCGGTATAGTTAGCTAACAGACCAAAACCATGGAGTTTGTTTGTTTTGTTTGTTTGTCAATGTCATACATGAACATAAAAGAATACAAGTAAATTTGCACTTTGCAATATTTCATTAGGAAACATAAGGTTTATGTGGTTCCACTAGTACTGTTAGTGTAGCGAGATCCAGACCATAATGGGCTGAACACGTGATTGGCGAGACAAGAACAGGTTCGCTCAGGACACTGGTGGGATAAATCTCAAAATATAAGTTACAGTCAGTCGGAGCACAGGAGGTCAGATAGGACAGAGGGGACACAGCACCAGCAGGCAAACATGGAGAGGGTAACGAGAATCATGAATTAGGTACAGGTTTTTTCGTACATAAAAGAATCGTATCAGCAGTTAGGAGGGTAGAGTTCGTTAGTGATAGGGTGTCATACGTAATACTAAGAGGTCGCTGGTGTGATATCATCGTTCTGAATGTTCCTGCCCCCACGGAAGATAAAACTGATGATATAAAGGGCAGCTTCTATGAAGAACTAGAACATGTATTTGATAAATTCCTGAAGTACTATATGAAAATTTTGTTAGGAGATTTCAATGCCGAAGTAGGGAGGGAAGACATTTTCAAACCAATGATTGAGAATGAAAGTTTACACAAAATTAGTAATGATAATGGAGTGAAATAAGAAAATAGAAAGAAAAGGGTCCTCAAAACCATTATTATGTATGTATCAAACTATACAGCATCACATCCTAGACAACCACACTCTTAACTAACTAACTATCAAACAAACTCCATGGAGCTGAACCCTACTTCAGGAGCTGCCAGTCACGCAGTTATTCAAGTATTTCCCGACATTTCACAGAACCCAAAAGTTCGTTGTCATGTTCACAAGAGCCCTGCACTGGTTGCTATCCTAAGCCAGACCAATCCAGTCCATACCACCCCATCCCATCTAATATCCATTTTAATATTATCTTCAAACCTATATCAAGATCGTCTTCTTTCTTCCTGGCTATCCCACCAAAAACCCTACATGCATTCCTCTCCTCCTCCATGTGTACTACATGCCCTGCCCAACTTATACTTCTTCATGTGGTCATTCTAATTATACTTGGCGAAGAGTACAAGTTATGCAGTTGTATTTTATTATGATATATCAGCTGCTGAAGTTATGTGAAGTGAGATGAGAATATGACAATGAATCATGGGTAAAAAAGGAAAGATAAGTATAAAGTGCTCTCCTAGTATTGGTTCAAAGTCACAAAGCATCATGAATCAGAACAGCCGCAGTGATTTTGAATCTTAGCAGCCGCAGAATATCAATCTAGGGGATTACCGCTGCACCCAGCTTGGCAACAAGAATGAGCGGTGAGGAATGTGGTCCTAGTGGTACATATAATGTCCAGGCCACCGCTTTATACGTGACTATGTTTGCCAGTACAGTTTATGAGAAAGTAAGTCTGACCCTGCAATTGCTGACCAAGATAAGAAGTTTTATGAACATGTAATATTTATAATGTAAATAAATGTGTATGAAAAGTTTATATTTTAAATATGCTGGAGACCATTTCTCAAAAAACATCAAAACCAAACTGAAAACTGTGCATCAAATCATGAATATCAACCATTCTTTAACGTAGCTAATTTTAAGACATGCAAGGAGTGGGATGGAACTGGGCTGAAGATCCGGATGTGCTGGAAAGAGAGATGGCGCGTGGGTGCGGTGGCAGCAACAGGCAGGCAGTAGCGAGCCCCATGCACGTCGCCTACTCACTTCTCGTCCTCCTTCAGCGTAGATGGCACATGTCTGTCCAGACCTTCCGTCACCAAAGCATCAAACACCAATGACTGCACCAGCGATTTGTCACCTGAAATTAAATCATTGCTTAAAAGAATTCATAACAATGATAATAACATTTTTTGGTGTAGTAACAACTGACTGATCCTCTCCACATCTACCCTGATCTGCTACACTTCTCTATATACAGCGAAAACACTGCAAAGTTTCTTTGGACCCTAGCAGATATGAAATCTAAACTGAAGAAAATCTCAAATGGGGGAATTTAATATTGAGATGTGACGGTTGAAAGCTGGAATAGTTGCGAGAACAGATGTGGGCATTGCTAGACAACAACATGGTAAACATATGGATGAGGCAATGAATAAATACATAACAATAGCGGATGTGGTGTTTTCTATGTGGTCCTCGCCAAGGTTATATAATAAGGATCAGCTTGAATTCTCGTCAGAGAGGATGTTACATAAGGACTATTATAACAAGAGTTCAGTTGGAAAAAAAGAAAAAAAAAATCTCTGGTCGTGGGCCTCAAAGGGCCTGATGCCAAGACGAACTGATTGGCGGTAAACCACCAGTCGTAAAGTGACTCTGAAAAAAAACAAGGAATATGCCAGTAAGGGTTCAGTTTAAAAAAAATTACATGAACCTCATGAGGCTCGGCCCCAAGACGAACTGATTGGCGGTAAACCACCAGTTGTACAGTGACTCTGAAAAAAACAAGGAATATGCCTGTAAGGGTTCAGTTTACAAAAAATTACATGAACCTCATGAGGCTTGGACCCAAGATGATCTGGCTGGCGGCAAACTGCCAGTCATGAAGTAACTCTGACTCTGAAGCAAGCCAGTTGACAGTCAGGGGGCTGTTAGAATCGGTGGTTAGCAGTCTTGAGGTTAATTGTTAGTGGCTGATACCTAGCAATGACAAAGGGACAATCAGAAGGCTTTATGTGTACTGTAGCTGTAAGTAAAAAAAAGTAAAGTAAAGCTATCCCTGTAACAGGCCATGAAGGCCCATAGGGTTGTGAGACGTTAAGGGTCCCACATTACCTTGACAATTGGCTCAGAGATGGCGGTAAGGTTGTCAGCCTTACGCGCTGGCCATGCTTCACTCCCCAGGAAAATCATTTAATTAATTCCTGGTACTCATTTCTGTTAGAGGCTGAGTAAACCCTAGGACCTAGTGCAGCCGGAAGGATTAGGTCAACTGAAAAAATCCAATGACCTCATCGGGACTTGAACCCGTGACCTTCACTGATCTATAAAATGTGCAAATTAGTAAGGCTGTTATAGTTATCTGTAGCTATGAGTTACAAGCATTCATTCCAATTATCAGTTCAAACCCTGTGTCTAGACACTAACAAGTGACAATATTGAAATTAATAACTTGGGATCACTGCAATTAAAAGTTTTTCTAAGTCACAAATAACATTTTCAAGAATGTTTAGTTTGTTATCCCCGCAGGATAAGATACCATGATTCACAACAGCATGAAACACTGACCAAAACAGATTTATGAAAAGAGAAGAAAAGCAATATTTCCCCTATTTAGTCAGAACTTCTTAACTCATAAAGGCTGACTTACAGAAGTAAGAGTCCTTTTCCGTTTTCTTCATGTTGTGAGGCCCATCTTTCAGGGGGGAGCGTGGCCTGAGTGACATCCACTTCCAGCCTGGTTTGCCAGCCTTTGACAAGAACCAGAGCACCTGCTCTTCAGGTGTCTTAAAGTGGTGCTCAGACATTGAGTTGTATTCACAGTAAACCCTGCGGCAGAAATGTTTCTTGTTTTCAGTCAGAAGGACACAATAATGTACAAAGAGCAGTGTCCAAAGTCATACTTCAATTTTCAGTGCCAGTAATGAGAATGTAAGTAAATTAACTGATCATTTTATGAATAACACCGTTAAAACATCTGAGAGCTGAAGGTGGATTAACGGGTGTTAGTTAATGTTCCATTAATTGAAAACTCACCAATCTGGATGAATTTTCCAGTTAGATCCTTTGAAATATTCAGTAACTGCAATGCACAAGAACAGAAGTTAATGAAACTTAAAGAAAGTGTGTATAAACTTAGATGATCTGTAAGAAATATGCTATTTCAACTAGACTAAAAAGGAAAACAGAAAAATAGCAAGTCTGTATGGTCATACAATTGTCAGTCACAGGCTGTGTTTTCAGACCCGGCCTTTGGTTTCCATATGAGAAGTGAGGAAATTACTGCCAGAAATAGTGAGGCAGTTGTTGTAGCTGCATTATACAAACTGTGTAATCCTTATCTCAGTCAGTGCACCCAACAAGATCCATTTCAAATTCTGCATAGAATGGCCAGAGCTAAAAACACAGACAGTAGATTAAGTTAAAACACAATGTTCTGGAACATTTATTTACATCAACAAGAGATACTTGTTCTTAAAGTAATCACTTTCTTAAATTTTATTTTCAAACTGTATTACAAGTTAGTGCTGGATATTATTAATATTATTTAAGCAGACCTACAGGATCTCAATGAACAGAGACTACCAAGGATGCTTAGGTCCATACCTGGGCAGAAACACGACAAGGGTTTCCTTGAAACACTCACCACCAAACAAACTGGGGAGCTACTGTAGTCAGATATAAACCAGCTGAGACATTTGACAGGAATACTTACACATCATCGTCACTTGAACACACACCTATTCAAATTGGGCCAGTAATAGTCTCACCTATGAAAGGTGATATGAGAAAGAAGTGACCCCACATCTTTTATAATATTGTGATGTTCAACAAGCTGAGTTTATCAAGAACAAAATAATTCATATTATATATATACAACAGGTTTTGCATTTCATTGCATTTTGAAGTCTGACAGACATTTTGTTGTGAATGTCATGCAGCTTCATATTATATTATCTGGCATGTGCGAGTATTGACATTTTTGGATCAAATCAAGTGGAAAAACTCTTTTTCGAGGCTGGAGTGTTAATTTTTCAATCTCAAACGCTTAGAATTTTCTAATATCTGCTTCTGCTTTACATGTTAAGGCCTGATGTCCAAGGGGATTGCAATTGTACTTACCCAAATTAAAGGGTAGCAGTGGACTAAGATCATGGCAACAGATCTCCCCAGAACTGAGAGTTGAAGGGTTTAAGAAGGGCTGTATATCTAATGAAATGAATGGAAGGGAGGATGAGGAAGGTACTGAGAATGTTGCCAGTGAATGAGTGTGTGAGCAGTGAATGTGACAAAGAAGATGGGAACTATGAAGACATTGAGAGCTGACAAAGAGTTCAGTTGCTGGATATTCGCCTAACAGCAAGGAGCTGAGAGCAGGGAGCTGAAGAATCTCCATTGTTAGAAGCCATTGCTAGGGAACAGCTGTTGAAGACACAGGTGGCTGGAAAAAGGCTTAGTAGGTGCTGTGGTGATCTGTGACTTGTGTGGATTAGCACTGGCCCTATAATTACTTGTGGTTCTAAGCAGTGTGTATAAGCGGTCAATAAAACCATTCACCAATCCATACCCTGTCTATAGTCACATCCCTAAATCATGACAATATTTACTTTGGGTGAATACAGCATTATAGGGGGTATGTGGTAGTGTAGTGGTTAAAGTACTATGCTACAAGCCGGAAGGTCATGGGTTCAAGTCCCGATGAGGTCATTGGATTTTTTTCAATTGGCCTAATCCTTCCGGCCGCACTAGGCCCTGGGGTTTACTCAGCCTCTAACAGAAATGAGTACCAGGAATTAAATAATTTTCCTGGGGAGTGAAGCGCGGTGGGCGCATAAGGCTGACAACCTTACCGCCATCTTTGAGCCGATTGTCAAGGTAATGTCTCACAACCCTATGGGCCTTCACGGCCTGTTACAGGGATAGCTTTACTTTTTTACTTTAAATACAGTATTATATTTCAGTGAAATTGGAAAACTTTACTAGTTTTATAAATTATCAATGTGAGAAAATTAGTCTACTAAAGAACTGATTTTTCTCATCTATATTCTGAAAATTTTTTTCTGTATCAAACTGAAAAAGTAATCCTCGCACATGCTAGACATTATAAATCATGCAGACTTCTCTACAGATATGTTTTCGGGTTTTAACACAGGTAAGTTTTCTGATTGTAACCTTCTTGGTTGCGGGCACCACACAAGACTGTTTCACAGGAACGGAAGAAGGCCTATCTAAATTCATAAAATATTTGTTCTCCTGATGTGAAAAAACAGCTTCTCACAGTTCCAGTTGGCCCATACAGGGCCCCCGCTCCCATGATCCTGAGCGACCATCATCCACACACCCTTGTCACTACTGTGATGGGGCAGTTCGCATCATTCCTCTGGACTATGACAGCTGTTCCTCCTCTCTTCTGTCCTTGGTTCTGAGTAACCGAAATCCTTGCCCCCCTATCTACATAACCTGGCCACATCCTCATCCTAACAGCTCCTAAAAATGAAGGCAGGATTTTCCTCCCAAACATTAGTATCCACCTTCAGATCTACACCATGTTACAACCAACAAAATGTCTGGGCCCAAAAAGAGAATTCAGCAACCACCAATGTGGGAGCAAATGTCTAGCAGGGTTGCCAACTCTACTGAAGAGGATTCTGGGAGCTCTTTACATCAGAATAAGCATACAAACTGTTTCTGCACCAGTACACTAAATCACCATATCACAATGATAACAACAAGGCATGTTCAGTTAAATCAAACATTGATTGCAATAGATAACAGAATAATTTGCAACTTGTTTACCACTTACCAGAAATAGTGTCGCTGGCTGAAATCAAATTAATTGTTTCTGCAATAACATACTTTCACTTTCATCATCTGAAGGTGTTTATTATATAATATTAGATACAAGACAGTAAGACCCTTTTACTAGGGCTCATGTGATAGCAATTATGGCAGACTCCTGCCCAAACCTGGAGGGTTGGCAACCCTAGTGCTCATCAACAGTTGTTTAATTACTAGGGAATGTGACCATCCTAGGGAACCACATAAACTCAAAAATAATATCTGGTTTGATGTGTACTGTTGTAACATTTCTTTACAGTCAGACAGTCTGCCACTAGCATCCCACAACTGCATAAATAAAACTTCTGTTTCCCTCAGCGTTAATTCACCTTAAATTTATATAAGACACTATTGCAATGTATTTTCAAGTTCCATAACACCACAGGAAAATGACTTCATCAGCAGAACAACCATACATTGCTCAAGAAAAGATCCTGCATTAAGGAGTTAATTGGCTAATGATGGCAGATATTTTCATTTTGTCACATTGAATGAAATTTGGGCTTCAGATTGTGACACAGAAAAAAAATATCTTCTCCATACTTTCATGAATGAAAGATAGACATCATTTTAATA